TCTATAACATTTTACTATACCTGATACGAACTTGATTTTGTTTTAACTTTAATATCATTATTATTATTACTAATCATTTTTTTTAAAATAAAAATTAATTCATAAGCAGACAAATTAAATAAATAAATAAATTATCGATTTTTGTAAATTAAATGGTAAGTAATATATACATACATATATATATAACAACAGTCGCCGTCGAAAAATAAAAATAAAATAAATTTAATGCGCCGTAAAGAAAAAAAAAAAAAATTTAATATCGGTAAAAACATATAAAATTTTTTTTGAAATTTATCAATTTCGTTCGATTTATAATTTATCATTTTATAACGACAAACGACAACAAAAAAATAATATAATTACGTTTAATTGAAGTTCAATAAAATAAAATTTAAATCTGGCAGAATTTAAACCAAATGAGTTTTTTTTTTTTTCACTTAATTAATCAAAATTTTCAAATATCTGTTTAAAAAAAATTAATGAATAAATAATAATAATAATAATAATAAACGAGCAAATTAATCTCTCAAGGTTATTAGTTATATACGTTAAATAAATAATTAACCATTTAGGCTTTACATAGGGTTTGCCGGTGCCTTTGTTTTCTTCTTTATAACTTTCTTGGCCGATCGTGTCGTTGATGAAACTATTAATAAGCAAATTCGACCTCCAAATATCACGTTTGTCACGAAATATTTTATATACGTCGTTTAATAACAAACACGTTTTAAAGTTTTTGGTAAATTTTTCTTTTTTTTTTTTTTCTCCTTATACAAACAATAATGTTAAAACAACTTGTAAAAAATACATTTATACTTTACGTATCACCGATGTATTATCATAATAATAATAATAATAATAAAAAATAATGTAAAATCAATATACTGTTAAAAAATTATTACTAAATTTTTGTAATTCAAATGTTAACTAAAAAAAAGTGATATTCGATTTGATAACGTTATAATTGTTTGATTCTACGGGTGAAGAAGAATTTACGTCGAAAACGAATTTAAACAGGTATCAATTTGAATTGTATAATTTTATAAAAATTTTTTTTCTAAAAAATTGAGCGTGTTATATATAAATGAGAATTCTTTTATCCGCGGAGTATTTCGATAAAATTTTTTTTTTTTTTCGTATCTTTGGAATGCCTTGTAGTGGTTAGTCCTTTTATGATCATTAGAATTGTTTCTTAATCTAACACATTTGTCAAAATTTTTTTTTTTTTGTTATCCTTTATGGTATAAACAGAGACACATTTGATTTATATAAGTTTTTGCATTTTTTTTGCCTAGAGAACTTTGTAAATTTATTATATGACAAGAATATTTCGACTGAATTAAAATCATTTATAATTTTGCAATTAAAAATGTTTTTAACTAAATTTTTAGTTTTTTTTTTACCGGTGCCGGCAACCGAATTCAAGTAATTTAAGTTTTCGACTCGTTTCGACACATATCGTCTCGTCTGCCTTTTTTTTTAGATACAATTTCTAAATTTTAATTCCGTACTTGTAATTTTAAATTCGCCAGTTGTTATATAATATATATATATAAAATTATCATAAAATATTTGAAATTTAACGAATATACAAAAACCAGTTTTTTAGAAAAAACTGATGATAAAATCCTGCATTTCGACTGGTATCAATCACAATTATTCTAAACACATTTAATGTACAATTAATACTTTAATCTACATCATTCTGTAGTAGTAGTACTCTCCTTAATATTAAATTTTTATTATTTTAAAATAACAAAAATCTCCGATTATAATAAAAAAAATTTTTTTTTTTAACTCTTAAGTAATAAATTAGTGTAATGCACACGTACACATGTGATTAGTAATCCATAGAACTGATGAGGTTCAAGGACGGACAATGCATTAGTTAAAAAAAAAAAAAAATATTAAACTTGACTCTTATCTGTCTACTAAATAAATAAACTTAACAAAACTAATAATATTAATTCGCCTTTCTAATGTTACACACACACACATATACACACAAATATATATATGTCTGTATAAGTGTGTGTATGTGTGCACATTATAAAAAAAATAAAATGGTACACCAATACTTAATCGTAAATTAATTATTTTATGAACAATAAACTTTTAAAAATTTCTTTCTGTCTGCAAAAACGAATAAAATTTTAAATAAAATGTCAATGTAAAAAGTTAAATTGTATAAATGTCTCCTTTTTTTTTTTTTGTTGTTGTTGTTGAATGTAAAAAATAAATAAATAAATAAATAATGACTTTCACATTATTAAATTTTGATTAAAAATTTATTTTGAAATGTTTGAAAAACATTTCTAGTAATCTTTTCCCCCTCCCCCCCTTTTTTTCGCTCTTAAATTAACTAATTTCATTTTATTTTTTTTATTTTTCCATTTCACAAACTGGCAGCTATAAAATAAATAAGGCACGTATGACTTTTTTTTTTTTTTTGTAAAATAAATACAAAATTTCCTCCGTTTCTATGTTTATTATAAAAAAAAAAAAAAACCTTATAAAACATTAAAATGTATCTCATTTATATGGAACTTTACGATTTGAAACGAATATAAATACATGTTAAAAAAAATTTTTTTTTTTAAATTAAAATCACGGTGGTTCATTTAAATGTTTATATATGTATATAAAATATTTTAAAATTAAAAAAAAAATAATAAAAAACTAAATTATTTTTTTTTTTTTTTTTTATCTACAATTAATGTTTTCGGAAGCTCGATAATTTTAAATGTAATTTATGTTCATTTATTTATCACTGGCCTCAATGTAAATCATAATATTATTTCGTAAAAAAAAAAAAAAAAAAAAATTTACATTGACATCAAAATAACAAGAGTCTGCTTTTAATAACCTGAAATTCATTTAAATAAATACATACTTATATAAAAAATATATACTTTTTGGGAATTAATTTTTTTAAACAAAATTGTTCCAAATCTAAGTAAAATAATAATAATAATAATAAATATTATAGTATAACACACAATGACGTAAAAAGACACATAACAACTTGACGAAATTAAAAAAAAGTGAATTAAATGTACATAAGAGAAATTAAATGAAAGACATTTATTGTCATAATAACGTAAATTAAAAAAATTTAGAGTGGAAAAGAAAATTTGGGTCGCTATAAGATTTTCTTCACCCACACTTCAACTATGTTAGCAGGTCAGAGTGAAATCTACCCTCGAATTGTTCTACTTTAAATAAAAAAATTTTTATTTTTTACCTTAAATATAATTTTCCAATTTCATATTGAGTCAACAACTTTTAAAAAATATTATCGTGCCGAACTTTAACATTTATGAAAGCAAAAAGTTTTACACTTCTTTTACACAGAACACTATAACTAAGTAAAAACAAAATGGCCGATCACTGAGAGAAAGGAGAGAACAATAATAACTTTATCACGTTTTATAATCTTTTAGGATATTAATAAAATTTTATACGCAACCAATATCACTTGGAAAAACTTTATACAAAATTTAAATTAATTATTTCCAATACGGACTTAATAAAATCAAAAACCGATTTTAACACTTGAATAGATGACAAAAACATATTACTAGCTACTGAAACTTTTAGTTTCAAAATTCACCGCAAGGTCGCGTTAATACTCCATGTTTTCACTTTTTATAAAATAATATATATATACATATAATCATGGAGATAAAATTTTTAGGGTTATATTAGGCCTTGTTAAAAAAATTTTTAATTATGATATATGTATTTAAGTACATACATTAATATTGACTTAGCTAAATAAACCAAATTTTTTTAGATCATCATGCAGGCATTAAATCTTACATTTTTGCTGAGTAGTATTTTATTTTTATTAAAATGAAAATAAAATTTAAAAATAAATTTTCTAATTTCATTTATATTCAATAATAATTAATAAACTATGTATTTATTATTTAAAATGGGAGGTAACTATAAAGTATTTTTTAAGTTGATAGTTGTGAGTATTGTCATTATTTATGCGTTGTTTCCTGGAAGATTTGCTGTCACTTATCCATATATTCCCATTGAAGATATTAAATATCACTTAGTACCAGTGTACAAACCAAATTCAAAGTCATGTCCGACACTACCTGAGCTGGGATTAAGTACAGAACTACAAATTAAGACTGGATATTACAATAAGTCTACATATGCAAATCTTTTAAATGTTCAGAAAGGTGGATTTTGGAAACCATCGTTTTGCAATCATGTTTATGAAGTTGCAATTATAATTCCATTCAGAAATAGAATGAATCAGCTAAATATTTTTCTTCAATACATTCATCCCTTTTTACAAAAGCATTTGATAAGTTATAGAATTTTTTTAATTGAACAAACTTTTTCAAAGCCTTTCAATCGAGGAGCACTCATGAATATAGGATTTGTAGAAGCGCTTAAATTTCATTTATTCCACTGTTTTATTTTTCACGATGTCGATTTGTTACCCTTGGCAGAGAAAAACATTTATACTTGTACTAAGCAACCAAGGCATCTGACAGCTGCACTTAATACATGGAGATATAAATTAAAATATAAAAATGCTTTTGGGGGAGCAGTAGCAATATTACGAGATCACTTTATACAAATAAATGGTTTTTCCAATGAATACTTTGGATGGGGAGGTGAAGATGATGATTTGTTGGAAAGGTACTGAACATTTTAAAAGTTGTTGACATGTTTTTTTTTTTTGTTTTAAATTTCAATTGCACAAGTTCAACAAGTTTTAAATTGACTTGATATGTTTTCTTATTAACATGATATGTAATCGAAACTTAAATATGTAATGTTCATAAAATTTTTTTTTTTTAGAATTTTGAAGAATAAATTGGGATTCTGTAGATTTTCTCCAGAAGTATCTAAGTATGTTATGCTTCATCACAAATCAGAAGATAAGAACCCTGATAGATTTGAAATATTAGGAAAAGCTCAAACTAGATTTGAAACAGATGGAATTAATTCCCTAAATTATACAAAATTATTTTTTAAAGAAAAATCACTGTATACCCATATTATTGTCGATATTCATTGACCCTACACAGTTTAATAGTTAATTGTAGATATAAAAGTTAACCAATGTTTTATTAAATTATTCAATTTTTCAAATTGTCATTATTAAAAATATTTGTATACAATTTTGTATATGTTTTTAAGTATTACAGATAAATAATTTTGTATGTTATTATTAATTTTTGTTAACCAAGATAAAATTTTACAAGAAAAATTTTTTTTGTAAAAACACGAAGAATTAAATTATATAAATAAATTTATTTATTATTAAATTGTGCCAATAAATAATTTTAATTAAAAATTGCCCTTAATACAATGTTGAAAAAAATAACTGATGTCAATGGCCAAATGTAAAATTAAATAAAAATTTGGGGTTTAAGCTAATACTGAACATTAATTGGGTCACCTATTATCCTCTTTTTTATTATAGTACCCCTAATGAAAGAGCTAATTTTTATAATTTGGCCTGTGTTTAAACAGACTTTTTTTTTCTTTCTGCAAAAATAAAGTTTTATTTTTATATAGCAATTAGATAAATATTTATGATAATTAAAAAATTTGAATTTTTTTTTTTTGAGACTACATTTTATATTCTTGCAGCTTATTATTTATCCCTCTAAACTAAAAAAAAAAAATTTTAATAGTAATAGTATAATTAAATATTGTTACTGTCCCATACTAACCAAATGAATCTACTATTTACACATATTTATATGTACGCTAACAATTTTATTACTTTTTTTTTTTTTAATTTCGAAAACAATTTTATAATGAAAATTTTCATTTCGA